CTCTGTGTGTGTGTGTGTGTGTGTGTGTGTGTGTCTCATGAATAAATAAATAAAATATTTAAAAAAAAGAAAGAGAAAGAAAGAATGAAAGAACCATTACCAACAAAGCTGGGCCATGACGAAGGGTCTAGAAAGCATAGGTGCACTTGCCCAGATGTGTCTGGAAGGAAGTGGAAGTCACATGGTTTCTCCACCCCCCACCCACCCACTCTGCAACTTGTTGAATCAGAGACAGATAAAGGGAAATATAAAGATATCAGGTTCACCTCTTGCACAGTTGGTAGGAATATGAACTGGTACAGCCACTCTGGAAAACTGTGTGGAGGTTCCTCAAAGAGTTAAAAATAGACCTGCCCTATGACCCAGCAGTTGCACTGTGGGGATTTACCCCAAAGATACAGATGTAATGAAACGCCAGGACACCTGCACCCCGATGTTTCTAGCAGCAATGTCCACAATAGCCAAACTGTGGAAGGAGCCTCGGTGCCCATCGAAAGATGAATGGATAAAGAAGATGTGGTTCATGTATACGATGGAATATTCCTCAGCCATTAGAAATGACAAATACCCACCATTTGCTTCAACGTGGATGGAACTGGAGGGTATTATGCTGAGTGAAGTAAGTCAATCGGAGAAGGACAAACAGTGTATGTTCTCATTCATTTGGGGAATATAAATAACAGTGAAAGGGAATATAAAGGAAGGGAGAAGAAATGTGTGGGAAATATCAGAAAGGGAAACAGAACATAAAGACTCCTAACTCTGGGAAACCAACTAGGGGTGGTGGAGGGGGAGGAGGGCGGGGGGTGGGGGTGAATGGGTGACAGGCACTGAGGGGGGCACTTGACGGGATAAGCACTGGGTGTTATTCTGTATGTTGGCAAATTGAACACCAATAAAAAATAAATTTACTATTAAAAAAAGAAAAAAGATACCAGGTTCAATAAAACACATGGGAATATGGGCATCTGGGTGACTCTGTCAGTGAGGCAGCTGCCTTTAGCTCAGGTCATGACCCCAGGATCCTGGGATGGAGCCCTGCATGAGGGAAGTCTGCTTCTCCCTCTACCCCACCCTTCTGTGTGTGCTCTCTCTCAAATAAATAATTAGAATCTTAAAAAAAAAAAAAAGACACAGGAATATACCTTCAAGAATCCTTCAGAGTCATCCATTTGGAAAGAAAAAGAGACATATTAAAAAAATCTGGGGCACCTGGCTGGCTCAGTTGGAAGAGCATGCAAGTCTTGATCGTAGGGTTGTGAGTTCAAGTCCCATGTTGGATGTAAAAATTACTTAAATAAACTTTAAAAAAATGTGACATATTCTAAGACCTTTCTAATCCTTCTGGAAGCTTCTGGAAAATTTAAGTATACAAATAGACATGGACATGACTGGAATGGCACCATATAAATTTCAGAGAGGACAGCTTCCAGAAAGAAAAGTCCTCATTGTCTTTTTATGCTGTTTACTTATGGTTTTACATTCCTGGTTTTCACTGGATTTCTGTTTGTTATTTGTCCTAATTTCATTGTGTGTGTTTGTTTTACTAAATGATGGACACTTAACTCCTGTTATGATAACTTAGTCAGGCTTTTGACATAGTCTGTCATCAGAATGTTTCATGTCAGCTAGACAGGAATTGGGTTCATCCATCCTCCCCATGCCTGAGGTATTGGTGTTTATTACCTATTGCCATTTTCAAACCAAAAGCAAATATGAGCAGCAGTGAGTCACATCCTAGCTCTTCTCAAGTTGTATGCACTCAGTTTCAGAACAGGAGTGGTTAGTTATCTGTAAAGTGACTTAATGTTTTTGTTGCCTTACAGTAACATACTAGAAAACATAGTATAATCCAAAATATTATAAACATTTTTTAAAGAAATTATGTATTTGAGAGAAAGAGAGTGAGGAGGAGGAGGAGCATAAGCAGAGGGACTAGCAGATTCAGTGCTGAGCATGGAGCCCAAATGCTGGGCTTCATGCCACAACTCAGAGCTCATGACCTGAGCCAAAACCAAGAATCCGAAGCTTAACCAACTGAGCCACCTCGGCACCTCCGTATTATAAATGTTTCTCCAAGCTTGCATTATGAAGAATGTGTCTTCTAGAAGATTCCTCCTATCCAGTGTTTGAGTGTGTTCAGTACATAAATATTGATCGGTGTCTGTGCTGTGCCAACAACAGCCCAAACCTCACAATTCAGCAAGAGTCAGCAGACTCTGGTCATGATCCAGTGAGTTATCCTCTGGCGAAAGTACACAGAACACATAAACTAAGCAGTGATGGCCAAATACATAACTTGTTCCTAGGTTCTAGGATGAAGAATTTTTTAAAACCCAGTTGGCATATAAAGTATATTAGAATTCACTTTGGGAAGGACACACTAGATCCCTAGGGAAGGGTTTTGAGCAAAGCTCTGATGGTAGTTGGAAGAGTGAGTTCAATGATGATCTGTGGGAAGAACATGCTGGGAGCGCACAATGCAATATGCAATGGTGTTTTGAGAGGTTAACTTGGTAGCGTGCGTCACAATTCTCAGTGTGCATTCACATTGGTAAGGCCTTTCCATTTAAGAAAGTTTTATTATTGATACATATAAAAATTGTTCGCTGCTTTGTTCTTTGTAACATTAAAAGATTTAAAGGTAAATTTAACATTCTGGTGACTAGGACACAGTCAGAATAGAAAATGGAGGGACCCCTGGGTGGCTCAGCAGTTTAGCGCCTGACTTCGGCCCAGGGCATGATCCTGGAGTCCCGGGATCCAGTCCCACATGGGGCTCCCTGCATGGAGCCTGCTTCTCCCTCTGCCTGAGTCTCTGCCTCTCTCTCTTCTCGCTTTCTCAAGAATAAATAAAATCTTTTTAAAAAATGGAAAATGGAAGACATTAAAAATGATAAATTAGATCTCAGTGAATCAACATATGGATCATATCTAAAATTATTATTCCCTGGGTAGAAAAACATAAGTAGGATACTGTTTGTATTTTCTCATGTTTTGTAAAACAAAGACTGCACTCCAATATGTTACTATCGGTGTGTATTCATGACAATGCGTGTGTATGTGTCACGCAGAATTTATACCAATCTCATGAGAGTATCCAGTACCGGCTAGGGGACGTAAAGGTATAAGTTGGGATGGGAAATATTTTTTTGAAATAGTAATTTATTTATCTTTAGATGGTGGTGGGGCGGGGAGAAGAGGGAGGGAGGAACCTCAAGGAGATTCCCCGTGAGCACAGAAGCCCATCACAGGGCTCAATTTCACAACTTTGAGATTATGACCTGAGCCAAAAACATGTATATGAAGCTTAACTGGCTGAGCCACCCAGGCATCCCAGGAGATATTTTAATATGAATTCATATGTTCATGTATCTATTGGAAGTCTGTGAACTTTGGAGATATCAGTTATGCTGACCTCATAGGATGAGTAGGACAAGAGTCTTCCTTTTGTCTTTCTGAAAAATTTCTCTAAATTCAGTGACCTTCTGTTCTTTGTGTGTTTGAAAGGCTTTCCTATTGAAATCTTCTGGAAAAGCAGCTTCTTTATGGAAACTCTTATGATGGCAAATCCAGTTTCTCTAGTAGATGAAGGACTATGGAAGGATTCTTCTTCCTCTTGTGTCAAATTTGGTAACCTGTCTTTCAAGAAATGTACCCATTTCATCCAAACTGTTAAAGGTTGGCAAAACTTTAATACTTTTCTGTGACTATTCATTTCTATAAAGTCTGTGGTGACAAACCAACTTTCATTATTAACATTGGTCTTACAACAGACATTTATGAAAGAGAGAAAGAAATTAGGCCAAAAAATGCTGACTTTTATTCTTGCATGATTTCTGTAATTTTTATGACTTCAAATGTATGTGTATATATTACATGCACACACACGTCGGTATATGGGTATGTGTGTTATAGTTCACAGTTTTTTAAACACATTATTGCTGGGGCTCACGTTTCAACATGCCCACGAAGTTGAGGATTCATTGATCAACTTCACTCCCCAGCATTTCCAGACACACCCTTGTGACCAGAGTCAGAACTCCAAATGCATACATTCTTTTATTCAAGAAGCACAAATGAAAGATTGCCCTTGGCATGTTTCTGACTTCCAACAAAAGACAGGATAATATTCTTTACTGATGCTTTCGACCTGTGTAAACTGCAGCCCATTTGGAGGCTATGCTTCTGTAACTAAAAACACTATTTATTCTACTAAAAATTGTTTATATCTTAATTTTATGTTCCTGGGGCCTGGAGTAGATCTCTGAACTCTGGCTCAGCCATCAGAACAAGTTTTGCATCCAGACTGCTAATCTCTTCAATGCGTCACACCTGTGTGTCCCAAATAGCTGATCAACGAGTTTGCCTTTTGCAGTCAGAATGGCCATTCCTTACACATCGCAGTGTCCACTGCTCTGGGAAGCTGAATGGAACGGCACATCTTAGATCTCATGTGCTAGGTTAGCAGCCTCCCAACTGAGCCCTCAGTCTGACTGTTTCTGCAAGTATCACATTGACTTCATGACCCTAGGCGCTGACCAGGTCTCAGCTGCTGCCCCACCTTGGATGACTGACAATCTTATTGTCAAGAAATATCAGTTCTTCTCATCAGGATCATAGGTGATGGTGTTGTGAGAGTCGGCATTTCCCCTGGATTATGACTCATGTCGTGCAGGACAGTCTCAGTATAAACCTCAGTGACGGGCACCCATGCCCTTTCCTTGTGGTGGATTAGATGCATCTAGGGAACATTTTCTTGACCAGATTGCCTCATCCCTTTAAGTAAATATATCCAAAAGAATTTCCTCTTTCTCCTGATGGTTTAGATCTCTTTCTCCCTCTCTTCATGACACCGCTATAGCACTTTAGTCCTAATGTAAATTGTCCCTGATGGAATATTGATCCTATTATACCCATACGTTCCTGGATAGTTAGTTATATTGAAAGTGGATATTTGGGTATTTATAAATAAGTGACTATCTGCACAAAATCATGGATACAGAACACGTTTAGTCAATTTATTTAATCACATGATATCCAGTAACACCAAACAGAATCTGAATGGTAGTGAGAGAGATGAAATGGCAAAAGGAAACATGTTTATGAAGAAAGAGAGATGATGCCAAGCAGAAATAAGGAGTGCTTTCTTCCTACTGTTGATCCTCATTCCATGAGGAAGACGACAGCTAGAGGGAAGGAAACAGGACAGAAGGTTCAAGTGAGTTGACTGTATAATAGCCTATGACAGTGAGCCTCAAGGAGTACAATGTCACGGGTTCAGGTTAACCCAGCACACATGGCCCGAGGAAACTTCAGAGTCTCCATCCTTAAAATATAGGAAGAACCATGAGAATTTTTTTTTGTGGATGTTCATTGGATGGGACCTTTCACGATGAGGATCCCTGCCGGGACCTGGATAATTTCAGAATGCATGCTCATGGAGGTGGCCCATCAAAAATGATTTTACAGGATCTCTGATGGACTCACACTCTGCTCTTCCAATTCCAAAAGCTCTGTGGATTGAAGATATTATATGTGGCTTGGAAGCTAACCATTTGCTCTTGTATCCTCCATTGCTTCCCAAGAGCAGTGACACAAGGCAACCTTCAGGTTATACCATCATCATGGTTTGTGGCTCACCTGACTTTAGAACGTTCAAAAATCATTTGGTAAGGAAATCACCCTCTGCAGGAGAATATGCTTTAAAGGCATGTGGTACACCGCATGGGTAGAGGCTCTCCAACGTTTTTCGGTCATCCCTGCCAGCTTCTGTCTCCGCTGCTTCTCTCTGAATGACTATCATTGGTATGACCCTGTATGATGCTGCACTGACCCCGTAACTGCTTTTTAACATCCATCACACCATCTGATATGCAACCTCAACCGACTCAAGGTAAACAGTATGAGCTCTTCTAATGGAAAATATTCTCTTCTGACATAACTATCGGGTTAGTTGACATAGCAGTACTCATGACAAGTCGTTGTTACTTACAATATTTAGGGGGAGTTGGCGTCACTCTTGTTATTCATGGTTGGGACAGTTGTCTGGGAACAAAACGAATACAAAAGGTGAAAAAAGGAAGAACCAATCACGACCATTTCCCAATGTTTGTAAGAAATCTTCTATTTTTTAATTTAAGGTATTTCAAAAATATTTTAGAGAGAGAGCAAGGAGGAAGAGGATGAGAGCGCAAGGCAGAAGTGTGGCATCTGATGCAGAGCTCCAACCCACAAACCAGAAGTGATGACCTGAGCCATAATCAAGAATCAGATGCTTCACCTCCCAAGCCCCCAGGCGCCCCGTGATTTCTTCTATTCAGTAGTAGGTTTTATACAAGATCATTCATGAAAGAGAAAGGTGAAATTGAGTTGTTGTTTTTTTTTTTTTTTTTTTTTCCTGAGCAGAGCTATGTATCGAGTGAAGGATAGATTCAAGAAAATAAATATCGGGAGTCACATTACCAGTATCGCCTACATATATAATATTTTCTTCTGGAATATCCTTTTCACTACTTAGCTTCTTGAACTTTGCAATGTCCTCCTCATTAACATGAGCTCCTCTGCCTGGATATCAGCATGCATAAAGTGGAAAATGCCCGTTAGAAACACCAAGAATTTCTGAATACAGAATGAGAATCACTTATGGGGAAATCTAGTCCTTCATGGAGTCTCAAACAATGACCACTGCCCTTGTGGCAATGTCACCTGCCTGACTTGGTGGGTAAGAGCCGTGAAACCGTGTCCAACTGTACGTCCATGACTGTCCAGCATCAGCAGCAGGTCTCCAGGGACGCAGTAGGAACTCCATGAATCTTGGACCCAATCCAGCAAGAAATCCAATCGACTGCATCTCGCCCTGTGCTTCAGAATCTAGATCTGACATGCACTTTGCTTCTGGACCCAAAGCAACTGCAAGGACGGTTCTCACCTTCCAGACCAATAGCAGCCGTGTCACCCATGGTAATGGGAGACAGCTTCGCTGGTTTGTTTGTTTTTCATTAAAACCACAGTTCTCAGATGCCTGTTTCCAAATTGACACCTACTGTCCCAGAGGCCACAGCACCCATCTCAGGGACTGTGTAGTCGAGACTTGAAATTTGTTGACCTGTTAGGAAACTATTTCTAACAAACTCAATTTCTTTTAATTTTCAATTTTAACAATTGCGACTTGTTTTTAAATGTATGGTGGTTTAATAGCTCTCACAGCTCCCACAGCTAGCAGCCCTTGTTTCCACATTTGTGTTTTAGAATAATTCCAGGATCCTTGACACAATGCACCTATAGACTTAGGTTTTTTTGCAGATTAATTAGTAATGTGCATATGTACTGACTTTCTCAATGAAATGCCAACAGGGGATGTGTTGTATGGCCACGACAATTGTCAGCCATAATACATACCCATCAATGAAGCCAGTTTTGTGATTTTCCCTTTGCTATCCACATTGACATCATAGCCTATGAGAGCGTTTGGGGTCATATCAATAATTCGGAAATAATTGCTACCATTATCTGTAAGAGACAAAAATATGTATGTATAGTCTAGACAAAATTTATACATCACATTGGTTATTTATTGAGATTGGCTTTCCCAAGGTGTAGTTAGCATACTGTCACAACATTCTTGTATTGGTGTCTACGTCCCCTCAACAACTCGGTGAACGTGACAATCATATCAAGGAGCATAGGGGGCACATTGCCTTCGTGCAATTAAATATTTCACACGTGCACTAAGCCATTTCACACCTCCCAGTGTTGCTAAAATGTTTTATAGTTACAATTTGAGACAACTCTCTCTAGTTACATTACCTGGTTACAATGCCTAGTTCCCCAAGACCTGTTTCTCTCCCTTAAGTTTGCCATGTCCAAATCTAGGTTTAAAAGGTCTACAAAGTGGAGAAAATTAAACAAGAGAACATTGATGATTCAGGCAAATGGGAAGGTCATGTAAGAGTAAAGAAAGTGACATGTTATTTAAAAAGACACTGGTGATAAAACGCTTGTACTTACAATCAGCATTGATAAGATTGTCTCGTCCTATTGATGCCCCAACAGTGTTTTCAACGCACTCTCCATCAACCCTTAAAAACAAAAAATCTTCAAGTGGATGGATGAAAACCAACTTTGTTCCGTGGTTAACATTTTCTTTGTTTCAATCCTACAAGGCCCTGCATGAGGCATCACTGGGTGCCTATTACAGTGTGATATTGGAAAGAAAAGAAACAGGTTTTCCAGGATCAAATATCGCCTCACAAGGATGTCTTTGTCTACCTACTGGTCTGATATAGAGACACAGACAAGAATAGATGATTTTATGTGATACACATTTGTTATATATGGAAACTTTATGTACGTTACATACAACAATTATATATATGTCACATGCATAAGAAACAATTTTTCATGTCTCTTGAGTATATATGACGAAAACGTATATTTGGAAAAATAGGAAGATTGCATACAGCACAAATAATAAAAGAGGACACAATCCAACTAAATCCAACTAAAATGAGGCAATTTCTTGAGCAGATATGTCACAGAAGATGGCCACAGGAAACCGTGGTGCGAGCAAGGGTCCTTAGGGACGTGCAAAGTAAACCACAGTGACATCCCATTTCCCTTTCACAGGACTGGATAAAATCACAGACAAGTCAATAGGAGGGTTCAGAAAGACCGTGTTGCCATTGAATATCTGCTTTATTACGGGCAATAATGCAAAAGGCGCTGTCAGTTAGCAAACAGCTTGAGTTTCCTGTGGTTAAGGTGCCCCTGTACTGTGATGCAGCAGTTGCACACAACCCAAGAGAACTGCCAATCCGCGTCAACCCAAACATTCCTGCACAGCTATTCCTATCAGACTGATTCAAAATAACCCTAAAGTGGAAAAATTATCCACGTATACACTTTTTTCTACGAAGTACAAGTACTTTCACTTGGTATCCACGGACACAACTGTTACTGTACGGAGTACTTTCACTTGGCAATGGAAAAAATTACCGTGTATGGGGAGCCGTGGAGATAAATATTAAAAACCCCATGGGCAGCAAAGAGAGCAGGAGGAAAGAAAAAGCAGGGTGTGTGATTCCTCTGTGTGAAGTTCTGGAGCAGCGGACGAAAGCACGTCAGGTGTCCTCTGCGTGGCCATGGGTGGGCAGTTAATGCAGAGGGAAGAAGCAGGCTTTCTGCGCAAATAGAAATGTTTCACGTGTTGCCTCAAAAGGTCGGTACGTGCACACGTATGTGAGAAATGAGTGAACTATCCTTCACGTGCAAGCCCCGAATCACATGGACACTGCGCTTCAGGAAACCTTGCAGAAGCAGAGGCTACAGGCCAAGTCACTAAATGCAGACGGACACAAAAAATGTAAACAGGACCAAAAAAGATGATAAGGTGTTTGAGAAAGAGAAAGAAAGAAAGAAAGAAAGAAAGAAAGAAAGAAAGAAAGAAAGAGAAAGAAAAGAAGGGAAGGGAAGGGAAGGGAAGGGAGGGAAGGGAAGGGAAGGGAAGGGAAGGGAAGGGAAGGGAAGGGAAGGGAAGGGAAGGGAAGGGAAGGGAAGGGAAGGGAAGGGAAGGGAAGGGAAGGGAAGGGAGAAAACCTAACAGATTTATCTTTTGGAATAGGGTCTGCTTAATTTGATTATCTGTATATATGACCTATAACCTATAATACAACCAGTATTGTATATTGTAGACAATCGTTTATGTATCTGTGGAGACAGGATGTGTGTGTGATTTGATTTTCTGCATTTATGACATATACACCCAGTGTCCTATGTATTATCATAATCAATTCGACAACTGCCTAACATTGCACACGTTATTGTAATCATTATATATTTTATATAGCAGATTTATCCATTACTAACTTTGGGAAGCCTTAAGGTATAATTAATGGAATGCTGGCTCTACTGCAGGCGTGTATATAATTATTACAGATTATTATACATGATAATTACATGTTTTGTACGTCATCAGTTACATGTGTACATTTATACATGCATCCCTCCAAACATAACCCTCTTATTTAAATGTCTTAATGCTCATCCTTTTCGGTTTTTCATTCCTCACAGTCTGTCTCTACTGTGTGTGACATCTTGGAGCCCACTTACAGCTTTACAACTTCGGTCCTCAGAAACAGACTTCATTCCGTTTCTTCTACGGCCTGGTTTTTGATATATATCATTAGAAACATCATCCTCCCTTTTATTCCTGTTCCCGTTTCTCCCCCAACCTGACAGACGAACACCTTTCTCTCCTTATTTTCAAACTTTCCTGTTTCCCTATACTGCCTCCTTTTTGAAATCCTAAGCTAGCACCGGTCAGCAGGGCAGTTCTATCTGGATTCAAAGGACAGCAAACAGTAAAAAGTAAGAATTAACTCTCCACCTCCAAGGTAAATACGGGTTTTAATCTTATGGGCGGTGGAACTTTTTGCAAGATGTGGTGCTTCTGCTCACTCTCCATTTCTTTGAATTAAGTGATCACTCTTCATTGTACATTTCGTGGGACCTTCTGACGAAACTTAGATGTTGGTATGAAATGATTGGTATTTGCAGATGGAGTCATCAAAGTATGTGCTTACAGTTACCTCCAATGTAGCAATAAATTTCAAGGATGTGTGTCCATGTCTCAACAGAGTCACAGAGAGAGGTGTGTGCAGGTGCTCAAATTTTCTCATTGATTGCAGGCCTTTTCCACTGATCTGGGTGCCAACATCTGTCCCCTTGCTCCTTCTTTGTTTGAACATCCCAGTCCACCTTCAGAAGGACCCTACACCTGCCCTGTGCCAGTGTTCTTTGAACTCACCGCATGCAGTCGTTGCCCTTTTTTGGCTGCTCTCATTCCACCCCGTCTTCACTCTCATGGATAGTGTTGATACTAGTTTACAGATCTCTATCGGGCTGTGTTTTGACCAATGAAGCTCAACAAGAACAAATAAGTTTCCTCATCTTCTCTTAGTTTTCTGAGTTCTTAATACATGCCTACAGTAGAGTGGTCTCTTTATGAATAACTTGAAGCAACAAAGGCTCTGGTGAATTTAGCGATGTAATAATGATTAAAAATTACCAATTGTGAGTTTTTAGGGTCCACAGTGTTAAAGCCAAAGTCAGGAACCCTATAGTCAGAGAAGCATGAGAACCATGTCTTTAAACAACGAGGTGTACTAACTTTATAAAGAACTCAGACCATCAGACCCTTTCACTCCTGACATTTCACTGCAAACCTGGAATCAGATGCCCCCTGAGGGCCAAGCATTTACAGGCAATTTTAGTCTATGTTATTTTTACTTACTTGGCATAAAAATTGAAATATATTTTGAGTCTTGGTATGTCCACATTGATACCTCTCATATAAATCCTGAACGTGCCATTCTCCGCAATCTTGTCGGGGTTGCTGGATGATATGTACCAGGTCTTCCATGGTCCTGAAACCTAAAAGCAAAGTTCCCATCAGTAACTTTCCTCAGTTTCTTTTCATTTTCTCCAAGATCGGCCATCATGGCTCTCCTTTCTCTTTTGCGTCAGCATAGAGTAACTTTATTGAACAACACACAATTTATATAATACTGGAAAAACCCAAGCCAACAGCAAAACCACAAATCGACATATTCCTAAAATAGCATAACCATTCTTATCAACTGCAAGGCCTCAACCCCAACAGCTCATTGGCTGATGCACATTCTCTCTTCTACTACAGGAGAAATGTAGAAATGTGCAATTACCAGACCACAGGGAACACGTCCAGTAGAAATATGTAAAGACACGATTAACAGAGGCATTCTGAGTTTCAAGTAGACGGCTACCATTGGAGTACATACATCTGGATATACATATTAAACTCCCCTCCCCACAGAAACCAGACACACGTACACACACATGAAGACCACCTTATCAGGTCAGCGTGTTCACAGTACCTGTGTCAGTACATTAGGAAGGGGTAGCTGGGCATCACAAGCCAAAACGAGTGCAAGACACAACAGTAGGATCTTCATATCTCCGGCACCTCTCGATTCCTCCTCTGCAGAAGCTCAGAGTTGGGTTACCTGTTGACGAGATTCTGAGTTTTCATCCCTTTATATACTATATGTCTATGGATGTGGCAATGTTTGACTGTTTGTCATCTTCACATGAGATCATTGTGAAACACTGAACATAAACATCCTGGTTGGCAGCGATGTATCCCAAGGATGTCTCAGACCCGGGACATATTGTACATCTTTCCTGTATCTCTAGAAACGACATTAGAATCTCCTCCGCCTCTAGTCTTGTTTGGCTCAAGCCTGCATATCTCCTGTCATGTGGATACATTTCTCAGTCAGTCTTGGAAAAACCAAACATCACCGTCACTTTTTCCTGAATGAGTTTCTGGGAGATGACCTTCCTGCCCCAGCACAACTGCTCCCTATTCCTTGGGGAAGGATGGGGAGATCTACATGTGGGCATTGGCACACGCAAACACATAAATGCAGATGCAAAGATGCAAATATGCGGACATCTGGTCTCCCTCTCTTTCCAAGTCACTGAAGTGCGTGAGCTGGGGGTGACACCACTGTGGTGTTGTTTTTAGTGACCAAGGTGTGCAGTCTCCTGAGCATGTCTACCCTCTGAGCTTATAATGAACATCAGGTAATTATGTATCTATGGAAAGCATGTAGGAAAGTGTTAGCTTGGAGAAAAGAGGTCTTACCTTGTCCTTAACACCTTTTAATAAAACCAGGGAATCGGTCGATAAAACATGAGTCTTTTAGGAAACTCTTACCATGGTCAGTTTAGTCAACATTGAACGAACTTGCCCCTCATCCTTACAGGCTATTAAATTGAAATAACAAAAAAATAAAATAAAATAAGAAAACAACATGGATCTTGCAATCCTCTGCTCACATTTGGTCAATTATGGAATAGGATGAGTGGGCCGTGGGGTAAGAATTGGTCAGTCATGGAATAGGATATTTTTAAAAGTAGATTCTAGCTCAAATTATGCCCCCAAGTATCTTCAAGGTGATTGGAAGAGCTAAGGACAAAAAACAAAATGATAATAAATCTTAGAGGAACCCACATGTGCAACTTTGGGCTTCTTTAGAGACATTTCTCTCACTTTAAAACCATAAGCCATAAAACCTACTAAAAGTATTTAGATTACTTTTTCGAGATTATGTTTTTATTTATTCATGTGAGACACAGAGGTAGAGAAATAAGTAGAGGGAGAAGCAGGCCCCTTCTGCGAGCCCGATGCAGGACTTTCTCCCAGGACCCTGGGATCACGCCCTGAACCAAGGGCAGATGGTCAATCACTGAGCCACCCAGGTGCCCTTAGATTAAATTCTGGTATTACAAAGATACCCTAAGTCATGTTATACTGAAACAGAGACTAAAAGAAGATACTTCCTTGTACTATTATTTTAAAAAATTTATTTCCTCAACTTATGAAATCCTACACGTGGGTTATCCTGACATGACACGTGTTCGCCCTTGAATGTGTTCATGCCATAACTGGAAGCCTGTGCCTCCCACTTCTCTTCTCCCGTTTTGCACATCCCCCAACCCCTCCTCTCAGGCAACAACCAGTTTGGTCTCTGTGTTTATGGGCCTTTTCTTGCTTTGGGTTTGTTTGTTCATACATTTCTATTTTAGATTCTGGGAAGAAAACAAGGGGTAATGGAAAGGGAGGTTTGCTGGCGGTTGTGGTGACTGGGTGACAGGCACTGAGGGGGGCACTTGAGATGAGCACTGGGTGATATGCTATATGTTGACCAATTGAACTCCAATAAAAATCAATCAATTAATTAATAATAAATTTAAAAAATAAAATGAAACTGTATGATATGTGTCTTTCTCTGACTTATTTCACTTCGTGTAATACCCTTTCCCTCCATCCACACTGTTGCAAATGGCAAGATTGCACTTTCTTACGTGTAAACTTAAGTGTCCCCTTTTCCCCTTAAGGGGACAAACTTACAAGAGTACGATTGCTAGAATATATAATATGTTTTGGCTTAAATACCCAGAAACTGCTAGATTAATCTTCAGAGTGGCTGTTTCAGTTTAGTTTTCTACCCGGAATGATGCTTGTTCACCAGGTTTAAGTGTTATCGGTATTTGTTGTTTTAGTCATTCTAATAGGTGTGTAGGGGTGATTGGCCTATCTCCTACAGCATTTGTATTGATGAAATGTATATTGGAGTATTTTGCCCCCTTTCTGATTGCGTTTTCTTGGTTGTTTACGTATTGTTGTATTTAGAGAATTCTTTACACGCTCAGGATACACGTCTTTGTCACTTGTGGGATGGGCAAATATTTTCTAAAGCCTGTTGCTTATAGTACATTTTTTTTTTTGCTTGATCATTTGAGGAATGTATTTTAAATTGTCATTTTTTGGTGTTAATTCTGCAAACTCTTTGAATGACTTCGGTCCTAAGATTTTTTTCCACATTTCCTTATAAAAAGTGATACAGGGGATCCCTGGGTGACTCGGCGGTTTAGTGCCTGCCTATGGCCCAGGCGTGATCCTGGGGTCCGAGGATCAAGTCCCACGTCAGGCTCCAGGCATGGAGCCTGCTTCTCCCTCTGCCTGTGTTTCTGCCTCTCTCTCTCTCTCTGTCTTTGTGAATAAATAAATAAAATCTTTTAAAAAATGTGATGTAATTTTGCTTGACTACCATATTTATGATCTATATTGAGTTTATTGTGTTTTACCCTAAAAAACAATTTAGGTGAAACACAGTTCACATGTAATATTAGTTTCAGATGTACTGCATGCAAATTCAAAACTCGTAAAGATGATGAAACTGACTTGACTTTTCCATAAGGTGTAAGGTTTGCGTTCAGATGTAATGTTTCTCTCCAATCCCTCTACCTGAATTTGTTGAAAAGTCTGTTATTTTTTCTTTTAATCGCTTTCTCTGTAACACTTGGGTATATTTCTGTGAGCATATTGTTAGATTTCCTCTTCTATCCATTGACGTGTAGGCCTATTTACCACAATAGCATATTCTATTACTTGGTGTAGCTTTACAGAGAAGTCTAAGCATAGGTCGCGTGAGTCCTCCAACTTCATCCTTCCTTTTCAGCATTGCTCTCTATCTAGTCTAGATCTTTGGCTTCCTCTATCAAGTGTAAGATAAACTTGTCTCGATGAGCCAAAGTCACTGCTGGCAATTCCACAGAAGTCTACTTGTGTGGAATCTAAACAGCCGTTTGACGAGGAAATAGCTCTACTATTTTGAGTCTTCCAGTCCACTGAACATGAGAGGACTCTCCTTTTCTTTGGGGCTTCATTGAATTCTTTCATCAGGATTTTGTTATTTTCATCATATGCTCCTTGTTCGTGGTTTGATAGCCAGGTTCTTATGTCATTTATCCTTTCAGACAAATGTGAAAGGTCCTGTGTTTGGTTGTCGATCATAAGTGATAAATTATTGCATTCTAGTGATATTGCCCCATCGGAAAATATGGCTTCTGCAGCCCGCGTATTCCTCAGTTGATTGACCCCCACACCAGTAGTTAAGTAGTGAAACTTTTTAAAACATCTTCCTCTTCTTCAGCTGATGCAGATTTACACTGTTCCAAACCCACCTAAATTTGAGCAGGACTTGCCCTCAAGCTAAGCAGTTGCTTAATGAGAGCAAAGTTCCTCGTTGCATGATTGTACGCATATGACAGGGGGTGGGCTCCAGCCCTCTCCTAGCTCCTCATGAGGTCTCATAGTGAAATTGGCAAGAATTGTGCAACCCCACTGTCTACTACAGCTATTATTGAAACCAATGTCTAAACTTACATCTAAATAAACCATTTTAATGTCAGGAAGCCATACACAACCAAAACATACCATCTCTTAGTAAAAAGAAACAACAAGAGAGGTACCATTGAGGCGGTTGAACAGCATCGCACACGAATTTCTTTTTTTTTTAAGATTTTATTCATTTATTCATGAGAGACACAGAAACACAGGCAGAGACAAAGGCAGAGGGAGAAGCAGGCTTCATGTAGGGAGCCCAACGTGGGACTCCATCCTGGGTATCCAGGATCATGCCCTGGGCTGAAGGCAGCACTAAACCGCTGAGCCACCCGGGCTGCCCTGCACACGAATTTCTATCATCATATTCCAACTAGATCCCCTTGCTGCATATTCATACTTTAAAACTACCTTCCCGACCAACCTGAGAACACAACATTGTACGTTGCTTTCCATAGAAATAAAACATTTAGGCATTTGCCCAAGACTTTTACAGCATTGGTGTTTGAATATTATTGGCAGTTAGTTTAAAGGATGCATGTAGAATTCTGTCCCGGTGCCCTCATTGACTTCAACTAAAGCTCAGGTGATGTTCAAGTGGGCTTGAAAGCTTTGCTCCTCTTTAATCATTCTCTTAGTAACGTGGAGGGTTTCAACTAAGCAGGTCCTACTTCTACAACACGTTATCTAAGAAAACAACTGAATACTTAAGAAGCTTGTTTAGGTAAAGGCAGATTTGATTATGTTGAACAAATAAGCGACAGAAGATTTTGAAACAATTGATATAATTTCAAGCAGCTTTCCATGCTTCCCCGTGGCTGAGGAACGTATGAAATCAAGGTCCAGGGCTGGTTCTCACATGCTGCCAATTGCAACATTCTAAACTTGGACTTGATGTCGGCTTTGTGTGACAGAATGAACTTTTGGAAAATCCAGTTTCTTTACCAAGGTTGGTCTTATGTTGTAGATGTTGTTCTAGGAGCAGACCGCTAGATGTCGTGGATAGAACTAGGACGGACATGAATTTGAACTCATGCCATGGTCTGACCACATGCACTCATTGCAATAGATCATGTGTATATCATCCACCCTGTAAATATCCTTTTCTTTCCTCCTTGCCACACCTTTGTGCCTTTGGCCCATCCAATTAATCCTCATAACAACACACAAACAACGTTTTTAATCCCTGTGTATTGCTTAACACTTGAGGAACTGCAGCGGATCCTGTGCATTGTAAGTGCTGAAATTAGGAGGTGTTTTAATACTTATACTCATTCAATGTCTGCATGCTCTTTGGTGCATTTATTGGAGATTCGCA